TCCGGTATCGTATCGGAGTGGCATAAAAAAGGAATTGGGAACGAAGGGGGCAATATCAAAGGTATCGCGGCACTGTCCTTCCGGGCGTATTTGCCGGCGGGGTACATTCGGTCCGTGTGCTCTCGTGCACGTACGCAGAGCGACGGTGGACAATTTCACGCACGCGGGCAAAATGTAGAGAAAACACGGTACCAGAGGAGTAGACGCCAGAGAGGGTCGGTGGACGAGCGCGGGGGTGTTTGTAGGTGCAAAGAGAGACGGAGAGGTTAAAGTGGAGAGCGCAGAAGCGCTCGTGGTTGGCAATCACGCGATGCTCCTCGCGTTACCTTCTATCCTGTTGCGAGGGATGGAACGAATGTCACGTAGTATAGGAAGTTTACGGCAGTATCCATCACGAAAATTGCGATTTCCGCAACAAAGCCGGAATTGCGCCCGGAACGCGCACTTATTTCCTCGGATATGGCGCCTCGATGCGAGACGCTCAACCGAGGATCGTATGCCGGGTTAGCTTCTTCGGAACGACGCCGAGATAGTACGCCCCGTAAAATGAGCAGAACCCTCTTGTGTGTCGTTTATATGGATGGAGACAATACGGTATACCGGTGAAATGAGTTTCTTCGGATAAGTTTGTGCCGGGCGTGCGTGCACGATTTCGCCTCCTGCAAAGAGAATATTTTCAACTATTTTTAGGATAGGGTGAAACTATACGTTACGCCCCGTCGTAGTTTCTGGAAATGAATGCAACGTCGTCTCATTGACGTCCCGCGTTCGTCCAAGCTTTAACGTACAATCGACGTGGTTAGTCACCAAACGACTAAATTGCGTCACTCTATGAAAGTATTCTAAGAAAACACCTTAACGTCCCTAAACATGTGGGGAGTGACATATAAATGTAGGTCTTGCTAGTCATATTGGGTAATGTGTAATATGTAAAGGTAGGTTATTGTTGTAGAAACTACGGAACCTAACCTTAAATATTGTAATATATGAATATTCTCTGCATTCATTTTGCGATTCTATTTTTTAAGAGGGACATTATAAACCACTGAAATCATAAAACGTCCCGGATACATTACAGGTAATATATTCCGGGGAATCCGACATGTATGTTTATTATCCCTATTAAAAACTATTCAAAATTAAAATACAACGTCGATGCGGAGCTCGTGGATAGAACAATTGCTACAAAAGGAAATTACTACTCAATAAGAAATAATTTCACAAGACTCATTTGTTATTAATATATTACACTTAAAAAGTTTCTAATAATTACGTTCTCAGTCATTTCTTGTTATATTTTTAACTTATTTCAGATGTTACCGGAAACACTTATTTGTTAGATTATTTAAGTCGGGGTGTTTTGTCACACGTTCGGGATCTTTTATCCACCATGGTGGTAGCGAAATGCCCCGCACAAGGTTAAGAAAAACATTGTTACTTTATTACTTGTATTACGATCTTAAAAAATTTTAATTTAAAACTTAATAAAGAAACGTCCGTTAATGCTTATTATATACAAGAAATGAACATAGGACATATTATTAACTTTTTACCAATTTTATACTCTTTTAGCCATTATCATCTTGTTTAGAGGTGAGAGCTATGTTTTATGAATATATACAATTTCCCTAAATTCTTTAATCTACGTGTTTAATTGTTTGTCTAGTAAGAACTGTGGTATTCTAGCGACTTTAGACTGCTTGCACGCGTATCCCAAAATCGGCGCCAGCACAGACGTCTTCGCCGGATATAATTCAACACTAAACCTACCAACGATTTATACCCCCATTACAAATAGCATTTAAACCGGCCAATTTGATCGGTTTAAATGCTGGTGGTAGGTTTAGTGTTAATAAATGAGAGCATGTGCCCGTTGTCCGGTACTCTCCATTCCGGCCGAGCGTTGGATTCGGCAAGTCGAACATTGGAACGGCGGCCGTCTTGTCGATTTCAATGTATTCTTCTGTAGATTTACCCACTTTTGCCGAAATTTTCTGGCACCGGTGATCTTGCTCGGATCCTTATTCGACGCTTTCCAACATGCTAAACAGTCCTTTTCTGTCAGGTTGAAAATCAAATCGATAATGGCTACGGCAATGCCGATACATGTGAAAAGTACAATGACCGACGCCGGCTTCGATTTTTCCGGTAACAATGTAAATAAATGAGTTACATTGAGTTCGGTGATGTAAATAAATGAGTTACATTGTTCTGGATAGAATTGGCGATGCCGGTTTGGCTCTCGTTTGCCCTCCTTACTCTGTGGCATCGGATTTCAATTTTCTAATACCTTTTCTCACAATTAGTCAAATAAGAAGTAGATACCTGCCGACCTATTCCCTTGGCTTTGTGGGATGATTTCACTACTTTTTGTATGCAGAAGATTAATGTGGAACCTAAATAGTATTTTTTTTTTAAATGGGAAATTCCCAGCGGTCGTGTACTTAGCGAGATTTTCTTACATAGGCGTTTGTTTTCAAGGGATATATTTTACTTCGAAACTTATTTCTTTGTACGATGAATTCGTCCGATAAAAAGATTTGTATTGGATTGCTTGTTAAACTTGTATACCATTATTACTATACAGGGGCAAAGCAATACAGAAAATAGTTTCTAAATTACAGAGGTTCGATCGAATCTGAAACTAACTCGTGGATCAGCCGTCGGTCTACCCCAATTCTGTCAATCTCGTCGGTATTTCTTGTTAAATATGTACATATACTACAACGGTAATTGGATATTTTAAGATTTACGGTCTCTGAAAATAAGGACGTTGCAAGGAGCCATGGGTTTCGAAATAATTCTTCACCCTCGTTTGTTGTTAAATGCAAAAGTATCTATTATATTAACTAATCAAAATAATTTCTGCCATTTTTTTCCCTACTATGTATTCGTCAGAAAACAAGGCGAGCTCTTTTAATTGCAAATCTGTTGGGTTGATACAAAAATTCGTTCCGTTTTTGGCGCTAGATGGCATTGCAACGAACAGGACGAACTTTTGCAACAATCCAATAATATTTTTTTTATTAATTACCATTCTGAACTCTAGCCAGGGTTGGGTAATTCCCCATTTTTTGAAATTTTTCACGTATATTATGTAACAAAGTAGTATACCGCCGAAAATTGTGAAAAACCAATAAATTACGTTTCCAATATGATGATATATGGCTTCTGTCTTGTTATAAACGTCTTGTAGCACATATGTAAAGACGGACATATTTTAAGCAACAATTACTTAAGTTGCCGCTTGTATTCAAAATTGTTTAGAATTTTACGTTTTCAATATGGCGAATTTCACAGATGCATGATATATGTATTCGCGAGGTTAACGTCTTTTAACGCACATATAAACACGTAAAAATTGTTAAGAAATAATTTATTTGGCGTTTGTGTTCAAATTCTTTCGACTTAACCCTGTTTAATATCAAATCCCTAATTGAATATGTTATTTTCTATTTAAAAAGAAAAGGGCGTAATGTACTTTGCACTCGCGTAGAAAACTAGGGATGTATTATACGTTGCAATATACACCGCCTGTAACCCGAGTGGAAAAATTTCGGGCACAGTTTCCGGTCTAGATAGTGATTAGACGGATACGATCGAGATCATTTAATCTAAACGGTCCGACGAGGTTCCGAACAAGACCCGAACAGACTCAATAGGTGTAACATTTTTCTAAGACATTTGCCAACGGACTGATAAAAACCCGAATGCACTGTGACAAAAATATTACTATTTTATAACATTTATTTCTCTTTTATTCAGACATGGCGTATTAATTCCCCTTCAAAATTTCATAAAGTTACAACATGACGTTATATAAGTATACGTTTCTTAAGAAATTTACAATGAATAGTGATTCACTTTTAAGATATTAAATTTATAATTTTACTATAATCCGATGTGCTAAAAGTGTATGAATTTTATGAATATTTTTAAGAGGGCAGATTTAAGGGGATGTGAAAGTGGCATTCGAGGGGTCAATCGTTTATGATACTTTTTTCTTAACTGAACATACTGAATCGTTTCAATCCTTAAATTGTAAATATAGAGGTTAGAAGGAAGGTCCTGACACCTTTGAAAATTCATTTTTAATAAAAAATTTTTAAAATACCTATGAACAAATTATTAAACAATTCAAATTTCTTGGGTTTTTGGACCTTCCTTATAGCCTTCATTATCACGTTCTGAACTTTGAAACGGTTCGATACATCCAGTTCAAAGAAAAGTTTCATAAACGAGACCTCTGTGTAGCCACTTTCGCGTCACTTTAATTGATGAATGTAATAAGCGAAACATATGATTAAAATAAAGTTTGAGAGAGGCTACTAGGTCGCATCTAACAAACCATAAAAGGTGCTCCACGGGGACAACGATTTTGAGCGTATTTCTCAACCGATTGAGCTCAACAAGTGCTCGTTTTAAAGATAAAATGTTGACGTGTGTTTATATGGGAGCGATTTTCGATCAAGTACCTTCTTCCTAGGTAAAAGGGCATTGAAATTATGTCGTTGCACTTTTTTATATGAAAATAACCATTTATCGAAAATTGCTCCCACATAAATACAGGTCAACGTTTCATCTTCGATATGAGCACTCGTTAAGCTCGATCGGTTTAGAAATACGTTCGGAACCGTTGTCCCCGTGAGGCCCTGCAAAATCACTAGAGTGGTAAGCGCCCTTAAGTTTGGGCGTTTTCTAAATAACATATTTCGATGGTCTAATAAACATATTTATTCACCCTGTTCGTTTGGAATGCCTATATATATCATTTACGAATACTCAATACTACCTACCATTTTATATTGAAATGAGAGGTATCGAAAATATCAAGTAGGTTTCATAGAAATATCACAATTCATATCTTACGATGTTCAAACAACATAAGTGAATATTCGGACTATTATTAACGCTATTTAATTACCTGACCTGCTGAAATGAACTGAACGTTTAACAAAGATATCGAATGAATAAAATATTGTTTTCATTTACAGAGTCGGATTCTGGAAGATGCCTCAATTATGTGCAATTCTTGGTCGCCGAGACATAATGTAAGTAGTTAAGCATTGTGACCTTAATTTTGTAGTACTCTTCCTTCGTTATTTAGATTACGTATTAAAAACGCCATGAGAAATGGCATACCATAATAATGTTTCGATTACACTTAATGCAGATGCTATATATAATATAATAATCCCCCAAGGTTAGATTAATTTCAAATTCGAATCCTGACAAAGATATTAACTAGAAATTTTCGATAACTTATACAATGGAATTACTACGTTATTCGTAAAGATTCCGAGTAATTACTTTTTCCTGGAGAAAATTGAGTAGCATTTCCTGATATTGCATAAACAACAATTTGCTCTTATGTTAAATTCCGAGATAACCTAACAATTGAAACTACATCGAAGTCAACTGTGGCTACATAATACATAAACAAATCTTGTAAAATACTGCAGCTCTCTAGAAAACTTTGCGGATAATTTTACTTTAACGAACGGTTTTTCATTTATCTGCATTTTATATTATTTGCAATTCCGTGTTGTTAGATTAAATCTCTACTCCAAATTTTCATAATTAAATACCAGTGAGGTACAAACGTAGTATATATAAATACAAGAAATATGGAAAATTAAAATATATGATTGTTGATACTGTAACGTTTACACTTTAAATTTGAACTGTGTGTCAAATAAATTTTTAGTAGTATTACAAGCTTTCTTGGAGTAGAAGATTCAAGTATATAATCAGTTTGTTTTTAATAACGTGTAAGACTCTGTTTAAATAAACTATTATTGTTTAATTGTATTATAGTAGTCTAAATTAACTAAATCATATTACGCGTCTGTAAAACCGTTTTCGCAGCGATACCATCGTTACAATATATCTACATATATGCATACAAGTTGTCTCGTAAAACCTTTAAAATAGTATCAACTTATTGTTAATTTTGCACAATTCACAGTAAATGATCCGTTATGTTTACTAGTAACTCTTTGAAATTGTTTTAATTATTCCGAATATATTTTTTAACAATTTAGGATTCATTCCAAGTTAACGCCATACACTCATCAATTAATTTAATGTTGATGGTTTGATTGCAATTCCCAAGGACGCGCACTTAAACAATGATTAAATTTTAATTTGAATTCATTGACAAAAAGGCTCCAATGTTGATGACGATAACATTGATTGTCCTTATACCTGACTTTCTTTATCTGCTCAATTGTGGGTTTTGAAAGACGGAGACGTGATACCTTTTTGGGATGAGACTAGGCAAGTGAGGAGTTAAGTTCCAAAAAGCGCATACCTTCGTATTTTGACCCGCTGATTACGAATGTGATAGTGAAAATTGGCAAAAATGTAATTTTCAAGGTGAAACTGGCCATTTTTCGAACATTTTTATACTTATTCTTTCATTATTACGATTATTACAAGTTGAAGAAATAAAAATTATAACTCTCGTAAAAGTACATCTTTCATCTTATTACATTACATTTACAATTTTTCTGTTAATTTTCCGTTCATTTTGGAAAAAAATGAGATCCATTCCTGAATAACAAAAGTATGACTAACTGCGTGAGATACGAGAAAGAGGAAAGGGAGGAGGGTAGCAAGTGTTACGATAGGTTATATTTTTGGGAGGATCTGGGGAAAAAAGTTTGAACCCCTAGCCACGCAAAAAATACTCGGGGTAGTTTAAATTATTTATATAATCGAGAGGAAGGAATGGCGGCGCAGCCCCCCTCCCCCGTATGAACTTTAATTCACTAAAAGATGGCGCGTTCGTCTAAAATTTGCTGCCCTCGTTTAAGTTGGTAGCATTGTCTGTCATGCAGTGTTGTATTCTCCGCAGCGAAAGATCTACTGCCAATTATACCGCAGTAATTCAGGAATGTATCCCGTTTTCTCGAAAAGTAACGCTTTTAGTGAAAACAAATAACATTAGAAAAACATGACACGTAACGTCTACCGAATTTCAAACATTTTGCATCTATTAAAAATGCTATTATAACTCTAGAATATCGGTAGCTGCCTTCTGAGTGTATTTATGACAATTACCGCATTGAGTTCGGTCTTCGTCATTGTCTTTTAACAAGGAAACATTCCCAAGTGTCCGCCCCCGATCTTATTGATTTCCATATACGTTGAAGAATACAAAAATCTAAGAGACACGTGTTTTTTTATATCTGCAATGGTCCACATTTAAGGGGTGAAACAACCCCCCAAAGTTTGGCGAAAATTCAATTTCTATAACAATTTTCGTAGAAGCAATGGAGGGATTTCGACGAAACTTGGTATAAACGTATTCCGTATAAGGACGGTGAAAACACAATATTGTCCAGCTATGCTACACCCCCCTAAGGGGGTGAACTACCCTTCAGGCGACATTTTTTTGTAATATCTAATAAACAAGCACTCCTACTTAAGTTCCACTTACGCGATGTGATTGCTCACAAAAAATGAAAAATCCGTGTTTTTTGCTTTTTACCAATAAACATTTACACAACGGTTGTAAACAATGAATGTAGGTGGTATACGGGTATATTCCGAGTAGCTTTATTGGGTTATATCGTGACCAATTTTACCGTTTCACCAAGGAGATTGTATTACTAGTTGGAAACGGATGATTGAGTCATCGGATCTGTTGAGAAACTATTTTAGTCTCTTAAACTTTTTTTTAAATTTATTTATAAATAATTGCATGCTATGAAAACCAAGGACATTTTGAGGAATAAGCACGTTCACAAGATTTATGTACAATGAATTGGTCACGATGTAATCCAATATAGCTAGTCAAAATATACCCGTATACCACCTACATTCATTGTTTACAACCGATGTATAAATGTTTAATGGCAAAAAGCAAAAAACACGTATTTCTTCATTTTTTGTGAGTAATCACATCGCGTAAGTGGGACTTAAATAGGAATGCTTGTTTAATAGATATTACAAAAAAATGTCACTTGAAGGGTAGTTCACCTTCTTGGGGGGGTGTAGCATTGCTGGACAATATTGTGTTTTCACCGTCCTTATACGGAATACGTTTATCCCAAGTTTCGTCGAAATCCCTCCATTGCTTCTACGAAAATTGTTATAAAAATCGAATTTTCCCAAAACCTTGGGGGGTAGTTTCACCCCTTAAATGTGGACCATTGCAGATATAAAAAAACACGTGTCTCTTAGATTTCTGTGTTCTTCAACATATATTAAAATCAATAAGATCGGGGGCGGGAATGTTTCATTCTAAGCGAACTATATAGACCGTCTGTCTGACTCTCCTTGCTTGACTTTTTTCGTTGATATGTCTGTTTAAATTTTATTTTTAAGTTTTTCGTTTACGCTTTAGCTTTTTCTTTGGTTTCTTTTCTGTCATAAATTTATAGGGAAATGAATTAAGGATTTCACATCTTGCAGACTTCCGTTTTCGTGCTAACAGATCGTTTTTTCGTAGCGTCAGGCAGAAAAACAATTTTAGAATGTTATCCTAAATATTTTGTATACTGCTTATTGGCGGTAAAACGTTTAATGTATCCTCAATGGTATACCTAGATACAATCTTCGGAGCATTAGAAGATTGCACAGATCCTTTCTGCCAAATTCGAAATCAGGTCGCTCGTTTATGGCATTTCTTTCTATTCTTCTTTTTTTTTCTCTTTTTGGCGAAAAATATTTATTTCCTCTTGAAAACAAAAACAATTTTAAACAGAAGCACGACCAGACAATATTAATATGTTAAGCGTCCGGGATTAGGGGACAATATTTTATCCGGTACTAGGCGAAACTATAGCCAAAATATTATCCGGCTACTTAAACATAAATATTAAATATGCAAAATCCTTAATTAAATGTTTGTTCTAGCAAACGAAATCGGTCAAATACTTCCTGAACCACATAAAAATTCATATACAACATTGCAACTCATGACAACCTCCCAGGTATAGCAGTTGCACAAAATTACACGATAAAATGTCTTCTCGCTCAAATGAACAATTTACTATTTTCAGACAGGGTATTTTCGTCATCGGAACGTATTGAAAGATGCACATATTTTATTTCGTCCCGTCTTCCCTTTCGCACTTACACATTGCTTTGTCGCATTTCTAGTCTAGCAGATAGTACGGAATAATTTCTAAATGTTTTGTTGAAATATTTGCTAAATATTTCAAGCGACAGATTAGTTAAGATATATAAAATATTTGTTAAAACTCTAAATGACATATTTGGTTCTAATAATTTATAAACATACATCGAAATTATATTTTTTAATTTATGAACATGTAATAAAAATACATTTTTTTCTTTACGATTATTATCGAATACTTCATTTGGTATTAAAAAACTCGACACATTTTGGCAATATTTTTGTTCCGCTATTTCATTATAAGAACGAAACATGTGACTGATTTTTAATATTTTTGAAACGTTTATAATGTTTTAGGCAGGTAATATTAAAAAAATACTTATATTAAAATGAATCGAAATGTTTTGAATATTTGTAAGAAAAATATTACGAAAACACGTGGAAGTAATATTATACCAATATTTCAAGTGTCTGGTAAATATTTACAAAATGTACGATATTACTAAACGTACGGTAATCAGCTGGTCAAAGTATGTAAGCATACAGGTACTTTGCCTACTGAAGTTTCAAATTAATCGGAGATATGCGCCTCTCGGACTTTAGTCCCAAGTTACGTAAATTAAAAGCAGGCAGATGTTCCAAAATATTTGAAATGCTTACGCGAAAAATGTGGAAACTCTGGTGGAAAGGGGGAGTGGCTTAAAGTGGCCCTAGAGTTTCAGGACATCGGCTAAAAGGTTAGCATGCGTTTAATAATTAAGGGTTTTACTATGGGTGCTGAAAATGACTAAATAACGTTGAGGTGATCAGGTACAGTGGACGAGAAATCTTCAAAATATAACATTCAAAGATTTGCCCAAATTTAAGGTGAAGTGAAACACGTCGAGAAACTTGATCAACGTCGATAAAGAAGATTTTTCTAAATGCCTACGTTGCCAACGTTCGTTTTTATATTGACTGGGT